TCTAAACAGCATATATAGTATAAACCTATTTTATTTTTTAAAATGGAAAGATATACACCAAAAAGTTAGTACTGGTTATGTGTAAGTACTAGAGTGATAATACTTTGATACTGCCTATTTTATAAATGAACACATATTCTCTCAGACAAAGAAAAAAGGGTTTTTACCTTAGGAAAGAAATGCAAAGAAGAATGTGTAGAAAAATGCAAGTGTAAAAACCAAAATACAGTTATGTATAATAAAAATATGAAAAAACACAAAAATCTTTATTTGTCCCCAACCTATTATTTAAATAATACAAGTATGAAGAATTAAAGATAGTTTCACTTCTAAAAGAGAGAAGGGGGGAAAAAAGGATGAAGAAGTGGATGCAAATAAGAAAAGAGAAACTTCACATTATAAAATCTTAATCTTTCAGAAGGAAGCCAAGGTCATCTGCTAAAAGAGTTAAGTGTTTCAAGATTGGGGTTAGCAACCTAAGTAGTATGAAAAAGCAATAAATAAAATGAATCAATTCATTAGATGAGAAAAGGATTAGAAAGCCACTAGTACCCAGGCAGGTGGAAAACAAATATATAACATCCTCAAATGTTATATAACATATAGCATCCTCAAACTATGGCCTGCGAGCCACATGCAGCCCACCGAGGACATTAATCTGGCCCACTGGGTGTTTTTGTTGCTGCTGCCTGTCCTGCTTAGCAGCCAACTCATCCCGGGACCCACAGTCCGGCCCTCCAATGGTCTGAGGGACAGTGAACTGGGGCCCACAGTCCAGCCCTCCAGTGGTCTGAGGGACAGTGAACTGGGCCCCAAGTTTAAAAAGGTGGGCGGTGCCTGTGGCTCAGAGGGGTGGGGCGCTAGCCCCACAGGCCGAAGGTGGTGGGTTCAAACCCAGCCCTGGCCAAAAACTGCAAAAAAAAAAAAAAAAAAAAAAGAGTTTGAGGGCCCCTGTATAATAACAACAGCATGACTTTGGGGTGACCTGTGGGGGAGGGACAAAAATAGAAGAAGTAAAACATTATTTACAAGTTGAGAATTGACTAGTTATATACCCAGCAAAGGTGAATGAGAGGAGGGATTATGTGGAGTAGTGAGTTCATGGTTAGAATATGAACTACTGGGCTCAGGACCTATAGCTCAGTGGTTAGGGCACCAGCCACATACACTGGGGCTGGCAGGTTCCAACCTGGCTAAACAACAATGACAACTACAAAAAAAAAAAAAAGCTGGGAGTTGTAGTCCCGGCTATTTGGGAGGTAGAGGCAAGAGAATCGTTTAAGCTCAAGAGTTTGCGGTTGCTGGGAGCTGTGACCCCATCGCACTAGGCTGAGGGCAACATAGTGAGATTCTGTCTCAAAAAAAAAAAAAAAAATTAACTAGTGAGTTCAAAGTTTGGAAAAAGGAAGACGACTAACAGTCTGAGAGGGACTGAAAGTGACAATGAAGACAAAAAGCTGCTTCACCATGAATGACAGAAACGAGAAATAGAAAACAGGCCCATGCATCACCATCTAGCCTACCCGTAAACCTTGAGGTAGAGTGGTTCTGTACAGTTGCAAGGTTAAATAACACAGTCATACATGTAGGTTGCTAATGCAAAGTGGAGGCGAAGGTCACTGGAATTTGTGAACTGTACTTCCAAATGTGGCTTTTCTGGCCAGAAATGAATGTAACTGTTACTTAACCTCTATGCACTTCACTTTCCTCAGCTGTAAATAAATCCTTTTTAGCCTGACTGATAGGACTTTGGGTGGCACTTAACCTCACTGCCCTTCATTCAACCACAAAAGACACTAAAAAGGAGATGGAAGATTGAAGTAAATCAAAGACTCCATCTGACTGCAAGTTTAAATCACGGGTACTTAGAAAAAAGGCAAACCTACCTATGCTCTGTCCCCAAACCCAGTAATTCTGATTTGTTCAGGGGTAGATTCCAGTCATCAATATTTTTAAGAAGCTCCTCAAATTCTAATGTGCTGCTGAACTGAACTAGGCATTTCTAAAGGCAGCTTCTCTTTTAAAATTTTTAAATTCTATGATTATATATAATTCACTGCAACTCTGTTCATCTGTTAAAATCATACTATCATGTGCCAGGCACTTCCACCAACATCTTAGTGAATCCTCACAATACCACTTTGAGGCACACATTTCTGTGTCCCTCTTTACAAATGAGTCCAGTGAAGCTTGGAAAAGTAATGGGACTTGTTCAAGAAAGAGTCACAGGCTAGCAAGGAGCAGAGCCGGAACTCCTGGTTTGTTTTATTCATCCCAGTCCACTCTACAAGCAACTTAACTTCCTTTCCAGTATACTCAGTAATTATTTGAATACTTTCTATTCTCTTCCCAGGACTGCCCCAAATTGAGCACACCAGTTGGTGGTTTACAGATTGACAAGGGAGAAAGTTATCTTGGGTGAGGACAAGAAATTAACGCACCACGCTACAATTATTACAGAATTACAGAACACCTTAACCTAGAAAGGCTTTGCAATTTAAATTAGCACTGTGAAAGCATACTTATGAAGTATTTTTTGTTCAGTTAAGACAACACACATTGCTATTAAGTAAACAGCTAACATACAAAGCTGGTTCATCAAAAAATAAACATCAACAGAAAAGCAATGTTATATACTTTCTATTAAGCAGAGCATTCTAAAACAAAATTCTATGACAATACAATTCTGACAAAACAGTAACTGACAGAGCAATAATGAGATGTGCTCTACCAAAGATCTTCAATGTATAAATATAACCTTCAAAATTTTCAGGTATTAATATTCCCATCAAGTGCCAATAAATCAATCACACTTAAAATTATGATAAAATTCTTTTGTTGATCCAAAGCTTCTCTCCCATTCATCAGTAATTATCAATCCATTATTTGCGTGGAAATTTCATAGACATTCAAGTTCTGTATCCTAGGCCAAAATTCATTGTCTTACCCCAAGACAAATTTTGAGGGGAAAAAAGTACAATCAACCCGATCTGTGGACTTAATATAATTCCTGGCATTGTACTGGAGAAAAAAAAGACTACAGAGATTTCAATACTATGCCCATGAAAATTACAAATTAATAAGAAATTCATGAGGCTTATTTACAAGAAACAAACATACGTGCACTCATCCATTCAAACCTTTCCTGAACATCTCGCTATGTTCTTGCATGCTGGAGATGGAGAGGCAAATCAGATCTATTCAATATTTACAGGGATATCATGGGAGAAATGAATTGATTCCTGGGGACAGAAAGGGCATTAGGTAAGAGAACAGGGCAGAAAAGGCTTCAAAGAGCGTAGACTTAAAGAGTATTTTTAGGAAGAAAAATTTAATTACAAGAACACCTTTAAATTAGCCCTAAAGGAATTAAGTATTTACACTGTCGAATTCATCAAGTCAAAAAAAGCAGGGATAAGAACAAGATGGACAGAGACTGCTCCACAAGAATGAGTTATGTACACGTACCCTATAAAGCTATGCTATAGGAAAACTGTGAAGGCTTCAGAGTCCTAAGACCTCAGGTAAATAGCTTGGCTACTAGATTTGGGAAGTCAGTTAAGTCATCTCATTTCTAAGTAACTCTTTGTCCATTAAAATAAACGTATAATGGCATTTACTTGACGAAGAAGCAAAACTAAAAGAATTTTTAAGACCCAAAGAAACTGGCAATCAAATCTGAGCAGCAGCTACATTTTTACCTCTAAAGAGTAAAAAGATAAATTCTCCAAGATGTTTTAGGAGTAACTGTATTTGTGGTTAAGAGGCTCTCACTTCATTTAACAAAATTTTTAAGGTAAGATGTCTTCCTTCTTAATAAAAAATAGCTTTCATATACTGGAGTAATTCAAACTGAATCTTTTCTTTTTAGGCCTCAGTCAGTACACCAGTTTTATGTTTGTTTTTTTTTTGAAGCAATTACGTGTGCTTTCCAAATAAATAGCTAAATACCCTTCACCTGGTGCTGTCAGGATTCAACGAGGTTAAAAATTAGAAGCCCTCATTAATACCAAATTAACCTCAAGACCCCATGAGCTACCGGAATACAGAGAAAGATAATGCTCAAAACACGCAACTTTAAGAAAGCAAAAGGAGGAAAAAACTTTGAAATGTCAAGATCACTTCACCTTCCTCTTAGAACCACCAACACATGCCTTTAAGTCTCTCAATCAACTTTTGTGTCTCAATCTTTCCTTAATGAGCCTCTTCAGCAATATACTAAAACACGACAAAGGCGGCATTTATCAACTCAACATACTGTCAGTCTATGAATTATGGAGAAGGGCTTCGGTATCAGTAACCTTCAGACCCCTCATTTCCACTGCACACTCACACAAGTTAGCGCTGTAATGTTCTAAGAGCACACAGGCTATTCAGGCCACAAGTGCGGCGAGCTCTCAGCCTTTAATAATATACTTTAAAAACAAATTCGGCCAAGGACCATAAAACTAAAATAATCCCAATAAATAAAACATCGCTTCTATCAAGGCAAATTCGCCGGTGCCATTTCGTCTCTTCCCAAGTCATTTAAAAATTAGCTGTTCAAGTTACAACATCCCTGCTGCAACATCCTGCAAACTTTTCCAACGTAAAGATGTTGGGGCCCAGAGACGCCACTGGCGAGTCCGGGACCCCAGCCGTCCAGCCCCACGCCTTCTCCCCTGACCTCAGGCTCCCTCCCGCCGACGCGCGGGCCGGACCCTCGCGGCAGTCCCCCTACTCCCCCGGCCGCGCTGTCCGGGGCGGGCGCGGCTCTCTCCGGGCCCGGCGGGACAGCGGCGGTGACTCGTCCCGGGGCCCGCCCAGCGCGAGGGGAGCGGCCCGAGAGCGCCCCGTTTCCCACAGACCCCAACATGGCGTCCGCCGCCGCCGCCCGCGACGCCGACACCTCCCGGCGCAGCGACGGCCCTGGGACCGCGGGAGGAAGCGCCCGGAAAGTTTCGCTTCTCCCTTCTCGGCCCACCAGGAGCCGGCGGGCCACCAACCCGGGCTTCACCTACCCAGACGGGCGCAGGCGGTGGCGGCGAAGGTCCGATTCCTTCTAGTTGCGGACGCCGGGCACAGACTCTGCCTGCTCCCCGCCCCGGGCCTCCCAGGGTGTGTGCGGTCCGCGGCCCCGCGCAGCCGGCGCGATCCAGACGCGGCGGGTGGGCAGGCGGGCCGCCTGCCAGAGCCGCGGCTCGCAGGTGACTCTCCCGCCCCGGCAGTCGAACCCGACAACGGCCGCTGCGCCGGCCTCTCCCCTGCGCGCGCCCGGGCGTGCCCCCGCCCACACTCCAGGCGCCAGTGCGCGGGCACGAGCACACCCACCCCTCTCGCTCCCCGCCCTTTCTCGCCAGTTCCTTCGCCCCGCCCCTCCGGGCCCGCGCGTCGCGCTGAGGGGCGGGGCCTTCTGTAGAGGCCACACCCACCAGAATGCGTGCGGGTGGAGCCGGTTTCTCGGCTGCTAAGTGTGGAGACGCGCTCCGGACGCGTTTGAGTGCGCGTGGGTCGCTTACCTGACTCTCCCGACTCTCAAGAGCCTTTGGAAAGGACTGTTCACCTGTCTACAAAGTACTTAGGGAGACTGGAATCCTGTAAGGAAGACCTCCCCCCTGCCCCCAACAGGCCTCTCCTGGGAATTGAAGAACAGGAAAGAAAAGGCTTTGGATTTAAATGTCCCAAAGCGTCGGTAGAGACACACAGACAAACTTTGGTTTAGCTCGGCGATCTTGCCCATTCCCACCTTCCTTTTGCTTTCTCTGAAACGCTTACCTCTTGAAACGGAGGGGGCGGCAACCACACACATACCGCACATGCTCCGCACAGCCATTTATTTTAAGTACATGCCTTAGACTCTGGTCTTTCCAGAACTTTTCTCTGACAGCACAAAAACCCCATCTACCTACTTGACATACCTAGAAACTGTAAGGATGGTGTATCGCATACGAGGTTGGATGTGCCCTTTTTCATGCACGCCATAGCACCTGTTTGCTAATCGCCCTGGTGGCTCCGTGCAGAGGTAACAAAGGCGTCTAGAATAGAGGAGGAAAGGGTGGACGACAACGGCACACTGATTTTAAACAAAAAGTATGTGTGTAGATGGAAATTAGGTTTGGGCAAACTTTGTTCCCATTGTCTATTGTTTCAAGGATTTTTTTTTTAACATTTGATTGCTGTTGAATTAGAGCCCCACCACCGACCTGCACGTAGATTCGCACTTAGGGAAAATGAGGTTTAAGTTCCTCCCTCCATTGTTTCCACCTGCTTTTCAGTCTGAGACTCTCTCCCTCAGGTTTTCTGCCTCCTAGCCTCCCCTACACCAGTGTCTCCAGAACTCGTTTTTAAAATAACTAGAACAAAATTAGCAAAAGTGAACAACTTTTTAATGGGGAAAGCTATAGGATCACGATCACATGCATACGCACATGCACAAAAAAATCTTTCGTGTGTTAGCTATAGCTTCTTGGTAGACAAGTGCAATGTTGAGGCCAGGACTCTGTCTCGGCCATCACACTACCCCACCTTGGCTGAACCTCACCCTATGCCTGGCATTACCTATGGGTGAGGAAAAGACAGAGCTAAATATCTAAAATCCCTTCAAATTTTGAAATTAAGAACTGCTATATCTGATTAGTTGTTTAATGTAGAGTCTAAAGCATTAGTCAAACATTTTTGTTCCCTCACCTCCACTGGTAAAAAGGTAATATAAAGGGTGTAATTAGAAACCAGAATGACTAATTGAAATCTTGGCTTTGCCACCAACTACCTGTGTCCCTGGACACATCCAGATATTACCTTGATTTTTTTCACTTGTAAAATGGAGACAAAAGTGTATCATGGAGCTATTATGAAGATTAAATGAATTAATATCTACAAAGCATATACCTGGCACATGGTAAGTGCTGTATGTGTGAAATAAAAATTATTATAGAGATATAATCTATATAGTGTGTTTATATACACACATACCTATTATAATATACCCAATATGTTAGGTATGTTGTAAAACATTCACACACAAAATTAGAAATAATGATTTTAAAAATATATATCTATCTATGTGTGCTTTTTTCTGTACTTTGCATATTCCATGCCCTCCCTGGGCAATGTGTACCACTGATATGATGGTCACTAACCACTTATCTTAATTGAATTTAAATTTAGTTAAATTAAAAATTCAGTTCCTCAGTCACACTGACCACATATGCTCAATAGCGCACAGTACAAATACAAAATTGTTCATTGTTGCAGAAAGCTCTGTTGGATATCATGGACCAAGCTGAAAAAAAAAAACAAGTCACTGAAAGCAGTAAGGTCAACTCCTGAATCAGACCTGTAACTGTGGGACCCATTTGAGTCAGGTGATAAGATCTTTCTCTGGGCCTCACATCTCATCTGCTAAATGATGATAAAAAATAGGAACAACCACATGGACTGAGAAGCAGAGGGAAAATGACAACATGTGTAAAGTGTCTGGCAGAATGCCTAAAACATAGTGGAACTTGAAAATAATGGTAAAATTTGAGTTTAAATTAACCCAATTCTATACCCTGACAAGCAAAAGAGATCTTGTTATTTTCTTAAATCTAATGGGTAAGTTTTCAAGGATACCTATTTTATAAAAGTAAACAGTTTGGTTTACTTTTAGTTGAAAGCAGCATTCAAAGGGAGTTGGACAGTATCTGGATTTTAATTACTTCTTGATTTATTTGTCCCCTCTATGCTTAAACCCTGGCTCTCTTCCTGTATTGCCCAGCTCAGTGAAAAGACATTGCCATCTGCAATCCTCGTATATCCTCATTCTCTCATCCTCTTTTCCATCTCCTTCATCTAATCTTTTTGCCTCCAAAATGACATAGGATCTACCTTCAAAACACTTCATCTCATCTTCTCTCCTCATGTCCCCTACACAGGGGCACCACACATCATTGTGTCACTCACCTGCAGAAACCCTTCCATGGCTCCTCACTGAGGCTACCATATATGGTTATACACACTGTAATAGGACAATCTTCTGTGATTATGTCTTTCACATAGGAGGCATTATAAATTTTATATTTATTACAGATCTTTCCTGGCAGATATCAGTGAAGTGACTTGTTCTAACAAAAGTATATTACGATAGTTTTCCAACAGATGGAAATGTCTTAAGGAGTGAATGGCTTGTCAGATTTGCCCAAATGTGCCATATAAGGTGAGAGTATTTCTCTCTCACTTAGAACAGAATGCCAGCTCATCATAAAGTCCTAAAAGTCACAGCACAGGCCAGCCCCTGCCATCCTTTCCATGATGCTAGGCTCCACCAAATTCTAGTCCCATTGACCTATTATTTCCTAAAATACATCATGCTCTTTTCTGGTATGAGTAACAACTGCCCTGACCACTCATCTACCTGGACCATCACAACCCTACCTCCTCTTTATGCTTCACATAGCTGTGACTTCTTGTCATCTTTCAGGCCTCAGAGAGGCCCTTCCTAGATACTGAGCCTGAGAGAGTGCCCTGGTTATTCTTGGTCATAGCCTTTTGTTGTTTCCTTCACAGCAGTTATAAATCTCCCTAAAGACTAGAGGCTCCATGAAGGCAGGGACCTCATTGTTTCGTTCTTCTTTCTATCCCTAGTTCCTAACAGGAGTGTGTGCCAGCATGCTGGTGGTCAACTCAGCACTATTGTCACCCTCTTCCTTATTCTCCTCTGCATCTCTAGGGAGAAAGCTTAGAACCTATTTTTCAGAGAACTTGTCCAGAATACTTCCAGGTTAACTTCTGTGTAAGGAAGACACATACATATGTAAGATTTAAGAGGCAGAAGTAAGGAGAAACCACTATTCTTTGGTTAGTATGGTCCAAACATCACGCTCCTCCAAAATTTGTGTATTGAGATCTAATCCCCAAGGTGTTGGTATTAAGAGGGGTGATTTGGGGATGTGAGCAGGACATAAGGTCAGATCCCTTATGAACGGGATTAGTGTCATTATAAAAGAGGCCTGAGGGAGCCTGTTCGCCATCCCACCATGTGAGGACACGGCAAGAAGGCACTGTCTATGAGGAAAGCGCCCTCATCAGATCCAAATCTGTCAGTGCCTTGACCTTGGACTTCCCAGCCTCCACAACTGTGAGCAATAAATATCTGTTGTTTAAAGTTCCCAGTCCAAGGCATTTTGTTATGGTGACCCAAATGAACTAAGACACCAACATAATTTCAAACAAGCAGTTTGGATCATAGGAGGCTATTTTCTTAGACTTTTGAGAAAAAACTAGGACAAATGCAAAAAGACAAATATTCTGTTTTTAAAGGGATGGGGACTGTGTTCCCCCAAAAAGGCAGTGGAAATACTTTGGGTTAAAGAAGGCAAAAGAGATATAAGGACTAAATACAATACCTGACCCTACGCTAGATCCTGTACTAGAAGAGGAGGATACTATAAAGGATACATATTGAGTCAACTGACAAAACTGGAATATGAATTGAAAATTAGATGATAGTATCAAAATTAAATTAACTGGCCTGATTGTATAAGGGAATATTCCTATTTTTAGGATATATACATGGAAGTTTTTAGGGGTAAAGAGCCATTGAGGTATGTATTTTACCCCCAAATGATTTAGGGGAAAAATTGTGCATAACATAATTTAAATATATATTCTTTTTTTTTTTTTTTTTTGAGACAGGAGCCTCAAGCTGTCCCCATGGGTAGAGTGCCATGGCATCACAGTTCACAGCAACCTCCAACTCCTGGGCTCAAGCAAGTCTCCTACCTCAGCCTCCCAAGTAGCTGGTACCACAGGTGCCGGCCACAACGCCTGGCTATTTTTTGGTTGCAGCTGTCATTGTCGTTTGTCAGGCCCGGGCTGGATTCGAACCCACCACCTTCTGTGTATGTGGCTGGTGCCTTAGCACTTGAGCCACAGGTGCCAAGCCTAAACATATATTCTTTAGAGATGGGGTCTGTCACCCAGGCTGGATGCACAGTACAGCTCAGAACTCCTGGGCTCAAGCAATCCTCCTGCCTCAGCCTCCCAAGTAGCAGGGATTATAAGCACCTGCCACCACACCTGACTAAGATTATAAAGGAGAGAAACCACATACATAAAGGCTAAAGCAAATGGAGTAAAATGTTAGTAGGTGAATGTGGGTAAGAATGTTTGGGAGTTCTTTGTGCTGTTTCTATTTGTGAAACCTGTTGGTATGTTTGAGATTATTTTCCCCCAAACAGTATGTATGTATATATGTGTGTGTGTGTGTGTGTGTGTGTATAATATTGTTGCCTTAAATATTAAAATT